GGGGGGGGGGTTGAATCCGCAGCCCGCACACAGAAAAACTTTTACATGCAATTTGAGTGCTACAGTGTGTCTGCGTGCTTCCAGATCCGTTGAATTCCGTACGGTGGTGGTACTCACCACTTACGGATCCCGAAAATTTGCTCAAATGTTTGCACGTAGACGGCACGCAGTTGTGCGTACGGCGGGTTGTGACCGAGGCGCGGCGTTGAAGGTGTGCGTGTCACCTTCAACGTGCATAGCAAGGGTCGAGTTGTGCCCAATAAAGCTTCCGTTATTTTGACGGATTCCTTTGAAAATGTATCCTACATAAAACAGCTGTGTCATTGTTGCAATACCGTAGTCATGATCAGTTGTACGCTACAGTACTTCCGGGTGCGGTGGTACAACAACATCCACATTGCTAACAACAGTTTGGTTCTTCTATTTACTTGCCTATTACTAACAATAGTGGTATATCTAAGCCTAAACGGAGGGCAGAGTTCGTTATTATATAGTTTTACCAGCTGACCAAGGTATCCTTATGTGGTACCTTGGCAAACAAACAGACAAACACAAAGGTACCGGTACAGTGTGCAGTTTAGTACAACTGACTACCAACTTGACATTAACTTTATATTTCCTGAAGAATCATCTATCATAAGAAACAGCTCTCCTGTTTGCTGTCCTTCCATATGAGCTTGTGTCGCCGTTGTCTCACCTTGTCTTTCCGGACAAGCGGGGTCGCCTCGTCCGCCATGTTGATCGGTCCTGTCCCCGTGTGACGCCCACCTGACCCGGCTATGTTTGCCCGGCATCACGTGGGGGTTACTCCGGGACAACGGGCTTTGACCTCAGCTCTTCACAGACCAGTGGGACGACACAGAAGCGATATTATTCCCGTGTACTGTCCTTCGGAATGCTATTATCGACTGTGCCTTTGACTCGGCTTAGGTTAGACTGGCTTGTACGTACTAGTACACTATGCGTTGTACTGAAAAGGTGCAATAAGTGGTCAGCTTTAAACTGAACACTCCTCGCAGCAGAACTGATCGTTATCAGAATAGTGCTCTACTCTTTATGATCCGTCTGTTTAACATGTAACACTGACATGCTGGATTCCAGATATATTTTAGTGATACCATTGGTCTGTGTGGTTACCAACAATGATATCAATATGCACTCAGAAATGTTTGATGATTTTGCATGTATGTCGATGACAATATTTCTATCAATTCGTTCTGAAGATTTTAATGCCTAAAATGACGTTTTATACTATTTAATATGTTATGATACGTTACGCTGTTAACCTGTTATAATGTTCCAATATCATTTCAGCCTTTGGGCTGCACCTTTGGGACACTGCTGTTGCAAATGAAAATAAAGCCATTGATAGAACAACAATAAATCGTACTTGTAACACCCTTTGTGCCTGGAGCATGGGACGGCATGATAAAAAGTTGCGGCAAATTAAGAAATTTAGATTTTTTTAAAAGTTGTACAGATTCACATTATATGTTAGGAAACTATTTTCGTTGCAAATGTTAAAATTACAATGGAAAGACGCACAAACGAGTTGCAATTTTCCGTGGTACCGTATGGCGACCTTCTTTTATTGGGGGTGGACACTGTGCCGTGCCTGTTTGATCTCATGCATAAACACAGTCAAGAATCCCTACTCTTGAATGCTTTAGTGCGATGAGATACATAAAGCGAATGCAACAATATTTTTTGTACGTATGTTATGTATGTTTTGTTGCAATAGCCAGTTCGGTTTGGATGCAAGCATTGTGATAGTCTCCACGTATACCAGGCTTCAGAAGCGGCCGCAATGTACTCCTTCAGCGGGAGTATTGAACTTGCCTGGCATTTTACCTGTTTATTTGGCCAATTTCTACTCTTTCCAACCGCTTCTGAAGATTGGTAGAGTCTAGCATTGTGAAACCATCTGCCGCCGCCTGTGACTCTGGCGTGCTACGGCACATTCAGGAACACCAGTATTTTTTTTCATAATTTTATTATTTTCACTATCACCTTTTCAAGACGTTAACCCTGAGACCAGACTGTAACGTAACAACATCGAGTCCTGCCAGGGATTCGAACCCAGAACCTTTCAGATTCTGAGTCGATAACCGTGACCATAAGGCCACCTTGTCACGTCCGTTCTGTACTTCATGATGCCGTGGCAGAGCTCATTGTTCTGTCCATTTCCACCCCCGCCCGTCCCTACACGATCCTCCCGGTCTAACACAGATCTCGGCTGACCTTACTTCCGGACCAGTCAGCGTCAACCAAGATAAACATGTTTGATCCTGACTCATACCGACGTGTGTTAATGGACTCACTTTCAACTCTCCGTCAACCTGACAAGTAAAGTGGCCTCTCAAGAAATTTATTTCAATATAGAGTCCAGAATCATCATCTGTTCTTACCTTTCCCCGAGGCCTGTTTCTTTATATCTATCAATTTACAGAACGTTTTCTATGGTAGATCATACGCTTCAGCTTTAGAGAAGGTAAAAGTAATCGCCTTCATCAACAGATGACAACCTGTACGCCTGCAGATCATTTGTTTAACCGTAAAATGAGTTATAACGGATCAAAAGTAGTACTTATACCATTCAAACATTTAGACAACACAGACTTTAAAAAAAAACCTCTCCTCAACGCAGATTAATGGACAGGGCGGGCTTCGGACGTATTTTATGACAGACTCTCATCAAGTTGCAAATAGATGTATTTTCTGCAAACAGTCCGCCCCTGCGCTGTAGGAAATACGATGAGGTTTTTACTGTCCAGGCGTAACGTTAGAAGTCCGTGATCACAAAGTCACGGCGACGGTGTGGCTGACGACGGGGAGTGTACTTGATGGTCCGTGCGCATTTGCGTTGTCAGGCGAACAAAGGGGCAGACAACACCGATGACATGAAACGGGTTTTGGCGCACGCCAGATTGAAAATCAGAATTCTCCGCCTTTGTTTGAGCGGGGTTTGAAATTTCAGCCCTTGTCGCTCACAGACAAAGTCGTCATCTAGAGTGATGTTTTCCCATCTGTTTTCTCGGCGTTTTTCTTTTCTACATCTCTTTATCAAACACTACCGTAGGACATTATACCTCTGTGTGATCTATGGGGTGACGTTACTCAGATCTTCATGTATACTTCATTCGCACAGATGACAAATTACAGAACTCTGGGTTCAATGCCATTGAGCACACTTCCATGTTCCCAAAAACACACACAAAAACGACGAAAAATGCAAAATTCCAAGAAAAATACATGCATTTACGAGAAAATATGATTCCCTTGTGCTGGTAATTGTTTCAATTAACAAAGTTTGTTTGGAAAGTTTTAGGTTTGCGGGGCGGTTTTGCTTTCGCAGAAAGTCACAGACGTTGTATGACGTCACAACACCGCCAGATTGTCGTCTGTCAATTCCACCCACCAATGCCTCTGGACGTCACTCCCATGTCATCGGGAATAAAAGAATATTTGGGGCATCCATCCAACCTACGTCACCGACGCTGAAACACAATTCATGGAATTTCTTTTCGAATCAAACTTCCCGTAGTTTTCATAATGCTGTCCGCAAATATTTTCCGTAATTGAAACCTTCTAGTTGTGTCACGTATATTCGAGCACGTTACTCTTATGCATCTTTGTTGACGTAGTGCTGAATTGCCTTTTGCTGTAGTGCTCTGTTGCTTTTGTTTCTTTACAATAACACACCAGCTTACCCCCACCGCCATCGGAAGTAGAAAGCCCTGCCCAGGCTGGCATATGGCCCTTTGATCACCAACAGTTTGCTTTTCCTTTCAATAAAACGATGACTATTACGGTGTTCCTTATTGTACCTTTGCCATATCGTTTACAAATGATGTTTAGTTTCCCCTTCTTCGGACCCTTTAAATACGGGCCTAATTCCAGCCATTTCATTCAGCCAACAACATCACCCGAGCGAAAGGCAACGACAGAAGATCTGTGCAAGCAAAGTACACTTCTTTCAACCGAGGTAGGTAAGGATAATCTGGATAAACGGCTGCCTAACTTTAATAATTTATTCCAGTAATTTGCTACGAGGTCCCTCTGGTTTACCTGTAACGATGTGCATAGGAAAGTCGTTGGGCAAAAAGTCTTTCGCTGTTAAATCGGAAAGTATGCTATCATACTACTTTCGCTGAAGCAAATTGAAGTATGAGTTCATTACGTTAAATGTTGCAAAATGGTAGAGGCTTAAGGCAGAGGATTCACCCATTATAAGGTCCCATGATTTGTACCTTGTTCTTTTGTATACTATGCAAACTGGCTAGCTGCAGTTGTATACTTCCCCAAAGCCAATGGCTTGCGTAGGTACGAGTTGGGTAAGCTGCATGGCAATGATATACAGCCGGTCACTCTGTATCTTCAACCTCGTGCCTTCCCATGTAAAAAAATCAAACTCGGAGTGGCAAATTTCGCTAGAAAACATGTAAATCAAAACGCAGTCTTCACTGAATTCAGTATTTCCAACAAGTGAATGTGAAACTCGCCAGCTGTAGTGTAAACTTTGTTCAATAGGAGATAACGTTTGATGACATTTGGTATGTGACTGGTACTGTTGTAGCAAACTCTCACTACTCATCAAGTCATTTGCACATGCAGCACCGTTTCGTGACTTGAGTAAACAGTACCAGGAAAGTTCTCTAGTGGGTAACCCGTGAACACGTCCATTGCTTCCCAGGGGCATTGCGTAGCCGATTGATTGGTGTGTTTATGGGAAAGATTAAGCTAGATTTGATGGAGATACCATCTGCCACAAATGACCCGCTGCCGTTTAACACTCAAGTCGTCATCAATCATGCCAGCAGAACCACAATTTGATGGGAATTGGCTTTACATCGTTCAGGGACAATTTTGTATCGCGTATCATAGATGAGCAAGTGACAAGGGACTAATTAAGCAATCTCATAATAACGTTTGGTCCAAGATTTGTTTGGTGATTTCAGAAGTTTAATTCAAGAACTTTAGAGCGTAGACGTGTCTCCAATTTACTTTATTTTAAGATTTCCTGTTGGTAAAGCCTGGTCCTCGACAGTCTGACTACAACTGGTCCAGAACGGAGCTTACCTGAGGCTATAGGTCGTCCTTCCAGAGCTGTAATTGCCTTGCCTGTATCGCTGTATCGCAGCTTAAGGCGTGCTCACAGACACTTAATGGAAGTAGCAAGTCTTCATACATTCTGACCGGTTGGAGTAAGAAGAAGTTTTCGAATTTGAAATCTAGCCTTCACGTCTGCAAGTTGATTCGTTCAAAGATTGGGCTTTCTTGTACAGGTTACGCAAGCCTTTTTTAAGAATTTAAATGCAAACAATGAAGGTACGTTGGACTAAGAAAAAAATTTCGAATTTGAAATGTAGCCTTTCAGTCTGCAGTTTTATTCGTTCAAAGATTGAGCTTTTTCGTACAGGTTACCCAAGCCTTTCAGGAATTTGAATGCAGACAGTGAAGGTGCGTCGGAGTTTGAGAAGTTTAAACGTAACCTTCCAGCCTTCCAGTTCAAAGATAGAGTTAGCCTCTTATACCTCAAACGTCCAAAGAATGTACGTCCAATGAAGTTACTAAGAAGAAGTTTTTGAATTGGAAATGTAGCCTTTCAGTCTGTCAGTTGATTAGTTCGAAGTGTCTCACCTTTTTTGTACGGGCTGCCCAAACTTTTGTCCTGAAATTTGAATGCAATCAATGAACAGTGTCGGGTTGACCTCGAACGTTCAAAGAACAAATTTGCCCCTATCTATCTATGGCAATCACTCGATAT